GACTCGTCCAAGCAGTCACTGCAGGGTCAGCAATGACTGAGCGCAGACAAAAAAAAAAAGCAAAAAGCAAAATGTGGGGTGTTGTAAAAGTTTCATAGAAGGACTGGACCCTTGCATTCAAGTCTGGCACATCTGATGGCTAGAGCTTAGACTTAGATATTAGGTATTCTGGTTCACATAAAACTTTATTAAGGTAAATTTCTGCTTGCAACAGATTTTCAAAGGTTTTCTAAAGTAGTTACACAAATGTCATGAAATGTCCTTAGTCATACTGGGGCCTCATGTCTTTCCAGTTAAAGCTCTACCAGTCAGAAACTGAATTCTGTTTGGACCTCAATCTCATGTATACCTGAACTAAAGAAATCACAGGGGAGTCTGTCTAGATGGTATTACACTGGCTTCATAGTATCTACAACAAATATTGTATCGTGGAAAACTTTCTCTTTGGATTCCAGCTACTCAGCCATGACCTCCTCCAAAAACTCCCTTCCATTCCCATTTTCCCCATCTAATTTCCCCCTATTCAATAGCCAGGTGCTGTTTTGGGGCCTCTGATATGCTTATTCCTCAGTGGACTGTTTGAGTCCTTGACTTCAAAGTTTTCCAAAAGCTTTTTATTTTGCACTTTTGCAAAGCTTGGGATTCCCTCACACCTGCTGATGCCTTCCTTCTTGTGTGTGGAGGGCCTACCTGGCTACACAAGAATCCACAGCTGGTGAATGAGAGTGCAATTGACATTAGGAAGATATCAATGAGCGATCTTGGGCCTTGAATTTATAAGCAGCATATCCCTCTCCAAAGAAATGACTGATCAATTTGTACTGGAGATATTGACGCTTTATTCCTTTATCCGAACAAGGGAATATAGAAATTTTGGGAGAGCCCTTGCTAACGATCTAGAAGAACTAGATTTTAGCCTCTCCAAAGATGGAAACAAAAGAAAGTGAAAAGACCCTCCAATTCAATTTCTCCTTTCTAAGGGACAAAAACAGGAGAAAAGCTGGGTAAACTGTCTATTCTCAATGCCACCAGATTATTTGGCCATCAGATTATTTTGGATTGCATCTGCTACTTCAAAACTTACGTTATCTTCTTCCTGAATCTCCAAGGTGTATGTAATCACTTCTTCCGGGGTGCAACCTTCTGCTTTATTCCATTGCAGTGTGATCCACGTTACTCCAGCACGGACAAGCCGTGGTGCTGAAGGGATCTGAGGGATATTTCCTGAAGTATAGCATACAACTTCTTGGCTAAAACCGCTGTGGAGCAGCAGTGGGTGGGGAAGAGAGAAAGGATGGTCTTGAGTAAAAGTTTGGAATTACACACTGTGGAAATGCAGTTGTTCTATTTTCTTAGTTGCCCTTTGTTTACTAGACATGTGTTATATGTATTCTACATTTAAATAAAAAAGGAAGAACTTGGTTGTGCTTCATAATGGAAACTTCTCTGCAGTTAGGCTTAGCTGATACTACTGATTCTCAGCAATACTTAACAGATTAAAGCAGTGTTTCTCAACCTTGGTAACATGAAGATGTGTGGAATTCAACTCTCAGAATTCCTCAGCTAGCTATGCACTGAATTAAAGACAACATGGACAAGTTCTAGAATCCTTCAATTCATCATGGGATGGTTTTACTTTATATCCTGGAGGTCACAGATCCAAAACACAGACATTTCCCAATTCCTTGATCATTAGTGATTTCTAGATGAATGTCCTAAGTCATATTAAATACAAGATCTGGATATTTTTGACAGCCTTTCTGTCTCTCACTACTTCTGTCAAGATTCTTGGATCCTGCTTTTCTTGGCCACTATTTCTGTCTTGCTTAAATGCCTTCCTGGAAGCTGAATTGGGTTCTGTTCCTCTTTATAATCCTTGTTTATGCCTATTTGATGGTCCTCCACACTAGGCTTCAATGTGTATCCATTTGCTCTTCTGTTCTAAGCAAGCTAGTCCAAAGTCTCTCTGAAATGGAACACCCCTCCCCTGAAACAAAACTGAAGAGCATCTGGTTGGCCTCTGTGAGAAACAAGATGCTAGAATAAATGAACCTTTTGTCTGCTCCAGCAAAGCTTTTCTTTCTTAACTGAGTTTGGTCTTTAGAAACAGCCTGACTGATGGCTGAACCATGATATCAATCAGGCACAAGGACTTACCTTATGCCTATTTCATTCTGAGCTGCTAATCGGAATGTATAACCCACAGCAGGACACAGCTTTGTCACCTTGTAATGTTTTTGGCTCCCAAAATAACATTCTCTGAAAACATTACTCCTTTTCCCCTGAAAGACAAAAGTGTGAAATGTATAAAAAATGATAAAGCATGTTCTTTTAGTCGCCTCTTTTCAAAGCAAAGTGCATTTTCTTCTGACTGGACTTAAAACGTTCATCACTTACTCATCTTCACAGTAAGAATCATTTCATGAGATGGGTGGTGACAAATTTGATGATGAGTTAATAAAGATGCACCCTTCCTGGACATTTCCACTCAGCTCCTAATCTTGCCTTTCTATCCTTTGCAGCAGTTCTGAACCACAACAGGAGTTATCTTCACTGCTACTCTCCAGGGGTGAGGCAGGTGAGGATGATGGAGAACAAAATGGTTACCCAGCTGCCTCATGGGATAATGAAAAAATTACCGCAAGGGAAAAGAACCAATCTCTGTGAGGGGGTGTGGCTAAACCATTCCTCCAATTGTTCCTAAAGAATGTGAGAGGAACAACGGCAAGGGACGCTGGCATCTTGGGTTCAAAAGGAAGGTGAGAAAAATTCCAGGAACTAGGATCCATGAGAAATCCCAACAATGGGAAACTGCAACTCAAGAGGAAATGCTGCAAATGTCTTTCCTCTGAAGCATAAGCAGATGTGGTAGTTAATTGACTCAGCTTTGGCCAGATTTTGACCTAAGGTGGCCCTTGGGTGACACATATTATGACAGCCCAATGTGGTAAAAAGCATTACGTTAGAGATAGTGTCAGATACCATTAGAATTACAGTGGTTGAGAGTCCATTCCCCAGGCAAAAACTCACTGAATGTTACTGTTATCTCAACTGATGAACATGCACGTGGGAACTAGGGTCACTGAAGGATAAGAATTTGGATACAACGAAAACCGGACATTGTTCTGGTGTTCCTTCACTCCATTTTTCCATTCTCTCTCTCAGTATTTTTGCAATTAGTCCTTCCAGGAAACATTAAGAAATATTTGTGGTCAGATTTCATTTGCCTAATGGTTTTGTCCCAGATTGCAAGATTTTCAGCAACCACAAAACAATAGGGCCTGAAAGGAAATGCTATTCCTGCAATAAATCCCTTATGACCTCTTGCTCTGGACAAATAGGAGGACTACTGTCAAATTTAAGTGACCTAGAACACGTTCCAACAACAGGCTAGCATTTTATATGCAAAAGCATCTTTAGAAACATTCTGAATAACTTCTGGATGCTGCTGTTCAGATTTTTCAGATTCTAAGATTACCCTTCACATATGCCTAGAAATTTGCTACCTAATTTGACACTTCATATTTCCCAAGCTAAATTCAGGTTGGTGCTATTTCAATTGTTTCACAAGGTACCATATTTCATATTCCACTGGCAATGATGTCAGAGGCTGGCTGACATTTCTAATTCAACTAGGCATTAATTGCTTGGAAACCTTTGCATTCTCAAGTAAGCTGCAGTTTTGGACAAGAACCTAAGGCAAGTGGTCCATACGCCTGACGTTTTGGAATCCTAGGCCATTTCTCAAATTCTTTTTTCCAATTTCACATTACATATAAATAGAATGCTTTTACAGGGGGGTTGCCCCCTCTTTTCTACAGTAGGGGAGAAACACTAATGCTAATTTACAAAACTCAGGGAAACCCTCTCTCCTATGTTCCTAAATTTCACAATACTTATTATTGCCTTAAGGTCAGCAGCTTGGGACAAACCAGCCTGTTATATGAAAATATATCAATTGTGCTCTGACCCTGTTGGAGAAGAGCAGAGCGGAGCTGCAGGACTTATACGAGTGAAAGCATCCATTGATGAAATGGAGTACTTAATTCACCTGTCACATTTACACACACACACTTTGCCTGGATATATTTCCTGTGCAAGATTACCTGTAATTGTGTGCCCAGGATATATTTGGAATTCTGAAAAAGCTGGGTGGAAATGTGAGTGGAAAGGTGGTGGGTTGCAAAAACATTTAAGCAGACCCATTGACTCATATACATTTATAAAATCAGAGCTATTTCTCCATCTAAACTATCAGAGAGAGAGAGAGAGAGAAGGAGGGGGAAGATGGGGGAAAGGAATTCCAGTATACTTTTGTAGATGATGGATCAGGCACCTGGTTTTTCTTGTTTTCTTTTACTATTTTTATTGTTTGTGAATTTACCATTGTTGTAGCTGCACAGAGTTGTGTTCCGCAGGATAGGCTGCCATATAAGTCTTATAAATGAATGAATGAATGAATGAATGAATGAATGAATGAATGAATGAATGAATAAATATTCTTCCTTCCTTCCCTTCCACACAAAAGAAATCTTCATTTCTTCTGTGTGGATTTAAACCAGCTTCTTTCCAAATGAATGAGAAGCTAGGTTTGCTTATCTATTATATTTTTCTTTTATTTTTCCTAATTACGGCAGGGCCTTTTGGTATAAATTTAGAAAATTTAGTTAATGCTTTCTGAATAAAGCATTACATTAAGCCAACATTACAGAAATGCAGGTCCTTTAGGTATAAATTTAGAAAATTTAGTTAATGCTTTCTGAATAAAGCATTACATTAAGCCAACATTACAGAAATGACATCTGGGTTTGGATGTAACACGAAATGAAAGTAAACTGCCATTTGCTCCCTGAAATGAGGAGCACACCAACTGTAAACAGGCTGTCCTATCTTGGCTTATTAAGCTAAAATGAAGTCTAAGTATCAATGAAATCATTGACCACCATGTGGTGAACTTAGCTTCCCTGCCTTTAATAATTATCTAACAGGCAAAGATTTAATTTAGGACAGTTTCTTCTATTATACTTATTTGAACCCTAATAGCTGATGGTCTCCCTACAACGTATTAAGAAAGTGGGGTGAAATGTAAATTCTATACTTGAAATTTAGATTCTGAAATGAGACTTTCTAAGTAAACTGTGATTTGGGGCATTTGACTTCCACAGAAATGTAGTACGTATCAGACTGTTTTTGAAAACCCAATTTATAGGACGTCAGTTATCTGTTTTATAACAAGGCAAAGGGACTGAAAAGAAAGGACTAACCCCCCTTCCCAAAAAATTAATATTACTTGAATTCAGCCTTCTGCGATACGATGTCCCCTAGATAATGGCTGGGAATTGTGGACATTAAGACCCTTGAAAGAGAGAACTTGGGGCGGGCAGAATTCATAAAAATATTCAGAAATGCTCATGACTTTCAAATAATGAATAAACAAACCAACGGAACAATTTTTCCACAATCTCATTCCCCTGCATTTGCAAAGCTTGTAGAAGCGATTTAAGGTAAACCAGAAAGCTTTTTTAAAAAGTAAATAATTAGCACTTACTTCATCCCACTCTAAAAGGTAGCTGGTGATTCTTGAACCATTGTCAATTGGGGCCTGTGTAAATAAACATAACAGGAGGTTGGAGAAGGTCAGGGAATTAACCTTACACAAATTCCACAACAGGAAGCTTAGATAGATGGTGGCAGTACCAGGAAAGGGAAAACAGGCTCATTATGAGTCTCACTGACGTCTTCATGGCTGACAGTGTGCTCTTTTTAAAAAAAATCATGAGTATAAGAATTCTTGCATCCTGTGAAATAAGCTTATAGCTTGTGTCTTTAGTTATAGCGGTTACGTGCTGGATGCTAAGACACAAGGTGAGGGAAGAAGACAACAAATTTTAAAGGAGCTGGTGTGGTGTAGTCATTAAGACATTGGACTTGAACCAGGTGTACTAGGTTCAAGACTGCCTTCAGCCATGGAAGGTCATTTGGAAAAGGGACCTTAATTTACATCACCTTGAGCACCTGTAAGAAAGGTGGGGTATAAATTTCACAAATGAGTAAACAAACTTGTATGACTTGAACACGTTTTGTCCATATCACTCTCTTTATTTGAAGATGTATGTGGTCATAGTTAATATTAGCCCAACTATGGGAAACCCCACATTGTTTTTCTAAACAAAAAAGGTGGTATTATAGAGAGATTATCTCAGTAGCAACATTCCTACTAAGTTTTAAGAGGAGAATCAGTTGTCAAGATCACTCAGGGTTAAGGCTGAAAACAGCCCTTTAAAAAGGTTCCAAAAAAGTTTTATGAAATAATTTAGCCAGATCCTAACTAAAAGAGGCTGAAAATTCCCTTAAGACTTGAAAGCAAGGGTTGCATATAGGTGGAACACTAGACCTTTTCTCCAAGCTCAACTACTGACAATTCTCTTTGCTTTGAAAGGAAGCCTGTAATTCAATAGAAGAAAAATGACTTATTCTGAGTTTTCTTCTTCAACATCTTTCTTGCCATCTTCCTCTAGCTATTAACATCCAGAGAGTAAGTTGGGAGATTAAGTTGAGGCCTTTGACAAGGGTAATTAAAGCCCCCTTCTGGGTAGTATGGGTTTACTTCTTGTTGTTGCCCGTTTTTTGCCATCTTTTGTTCCTTGTTTTTATTATTGTATTGTTTTATTGTCATGGAGAAAATCTATGTATGTGGTCACTAGGAGTCAAAAATGACTGATAGCACAGAATCAATCAATCATGTTATTGTTTTCTCTGTTTTTATTTGTGAGTTGCCCAGAGTAATGAGGAGTTCGATGGTGTAAAAATTTAATAAATAATAATGATTAGCAAGTCTCAGAGTTTTCTTGACAGCTAGAAGGTCAAGATGCTGGCTTACCATGGAAAAGATCTTCGTTCTTTCAGTTTGCTTTGTTTGGATCCACTGACGAATAGTTCACTGATTTTTTTAAATAAATAGACAGACATAACATATGTTCACATGCAGAGACAGTTTTCCCACTTTGGCACCTTCAAGATATGCTGGAGATATACACCTCCAATCATCAATTTCATCTACTTAGGTGCCTGAGGCTAAGGAGATGAGAATGGACATCTGGAGAGTTCCAGATGGGAGAAGACTGCCTACACAAAAATTTTCTTCAGAGGATTTACCTTCCATTGCAAAGTCAAGGAATTTTTGGTCCTGTGTGAAGGTTTGGGTGGGAAAGGGCATTCTGGAGCACAGCTACGAGTGATGAAGCTGACTGGTTCTGAGCAAGATCCTTTCACTGAATTGTACATAGCATGTATCCTGAAAAATGGAACAAAGTTTAAGAAATATGCTTGTTATTATTGATTTAACTGTGTGAGTTCCACACCATTACCCAATCCATCAAAAGTAGTTTGAAAATGTCATCTTAATTTGCTTAGAATAAAGAGCACAGAATGTCATTTAGGGTACTAGGGGTTGGACTTGTTGACCTAAATGGCACCTTCCACAGAGTGGCAACTTTTGGGGGAAGGATTAATTTTACTGCCCTCTCAAACAGAGTGCAGCTGAGCCGGAAATAAACTAGTTCAGCTCCCAAACACAGACCACAGCATAGGACCACATGAGTGAAGACCTGATTCAGATCAAAGACCTCGTATGGAAATGCCTTGCATTAGAAGTAGGAGGGGAGCCCCACCCTTTTTATCAAATTCTGAAGCATTTTTCTGCCATAATCCTTTCCAGTTGGATGTTTCTGAAGCTCACAACTGAATGTTCTAATACAGGTTGTCTCAATCTTGTGCCCTCCAAATTTGTTGGGACTGTCATTTCCAGAATTTCCAACAGTCCCAATACCCTTGAAGGACAGAAGGCTACAGAGGGCTGACCTACAATAACCAAGTGCAGCACACCCACAGAAGTTAAGTGATAATGGACAGACCATTGGAAAGCCCATGGAAAAGCATGATATAAGGATAATTATGTGAATTTTTAAAGTGATTACTGCATGAAAAAGCACTGAATAAATTAGGTGCATTTAATTATTAATTAATGTAGTTAATATTATTACCCATATATTTAACAATCCTTCCCCCCTCCCCTGTTGTGGCAGCAACATTTGTAATTCCTATGCAATATCTGGAGGAGCTTTAGCAGAAATAGACAACTTCAGCTTCCCGGGCCTCATACATACCCTTGAACTCTTATTGTGCCCCCGCCCCTAATGAGAGACATGGTTCCCTGCTATTTTAAATTAGGAACCACTTAAAAACTGTAGTGCAAGCCCTAATGCAGGCTTACCATGCTTAGAAAGAAATGGAAACAAACAAAACACTTCTCCCAAACCTAGAAAAACAAAATATCCATCCTTAAGAAAATCCAGTTCAGAACTTCCCTTTCCTCCCAATTTAGCTGTGTAATTCTTCTCCCCCATACTGATTTCTGATCCCACCCAGTCATGCCAAATTCTACAAATATTAAAGCAATGGGAATGTGAGTTTTTTTCAACACAGAATTGAGTTCCCAAATGTAGGACATATATACGAGTAGTCCTTGCTTAATGATGGTAATTGGGGCTGGAATTTCCATCGCTAAGCAATGCAGTTGTAAAGCACGAGGTCACATGACTGCATCACTTAGCAACGAGAGTTGCAGCAGTCCCCAATTACCATCATTAAGGGAATCGCCATGGGTTGTTAAGCAAGGACCTCATGTGACCGCGATGTCCCACTTCCTACTGGCTTCCCTATTGACTTTGCTTGTGGGAAGCTAGCTGTGAAGGTTGCAGATCATGATCATTTGACCATTGGATGCTGCAACAGTCAGAAATGCAACTCGGTTGCTGAGTGCCCAGATCGTGATCAGGTGACCATGGGGGCACTGTGATAGCCAGAACTTTGAGGACTGGTGGTAAGTACCCCCCATTCACTGCCATCATACATTCGAAAGGTCGCTGAATAAGTAGTCGTCAGCTGAGGACCACATCTATTTTCATGGAATATTTTCAGTTCTGGTTGAGAGTACTATTGGGATGAAAAATGAATTTCAGAAGTATGGCTGATGGCTGGTGAGAATTAGAACAAATTTATTCATTTGCAGATTTTCCCCACCTGGAGGTGTAGTTTTCACATTCTGTACATGGCCCTAATCAAAGCACTAAATGTATCAGAATTATCTATAGGCAATTTTTTAAATTAGATTAAATTCCGTGGAAAGAAAGAAACTAGAGAGAAAAAGGAAGGAATTGGATAGCCATTAGCTGTAAGGAAGCAGGATAAAGATGTTTTAAATAAATGAAATTATGATGATGCCAAGCTAGCTCAGATTAAAAAAAAATACTATGCAACAGACTGAAGGGAAGAAGAAATATATTGTGCTGATATTGGTAGGAAAGAACTGTGGCACCTATGTAAAAAAAAGAAAGAAAATAAAGATACCAGTTCCAGTGCTTAAGGGGTATTACTCAGTTTCCAAAAAAGAATCTTCCAGAGTACACAACATTAACTGCACCAAGTCTAGACAAATGCCTTGCCAACTTTGAGTTTGGCTAAATTTAGTTTATTTTTCAAACGGCAATGCCACTATCCTGGTCTAACCCCACTGCTAGGCCGAAAACATCCAAGGGTCTCTCTGTCCTTGTGCATTTGAATGATCTTTCTCCCTCTCTCTCTCTGGATCTCTCTTTTGACAACCTGAACAATGAATCACAATTTGTCAGGGGAAGCAAGATTTGTGGCATTCTTTAGCAATAAGGTTAGCAACACAATCCAATATGCCTTACAGTTTTCATACAACCATAAGAGGGTTAATATTTCAAAAATATCACTGGCCTTTCGTCTTATTGTCCACATTCAGTAGAATGTGGATTTAGTAGACTATCCTTTGTAGGACACATTGGCATGCTATTACCTATTTCCACTAAGATTCTGGTAATTACTTGGGTCAATATATAGTAAAAAGGGCCTTTCATTTCTGGGATTGACAGCAGCTACGCGCTTGGGTTGCACATTGGATTTTGATGTTAAGGCTCATGTTTATTTAACCTTATGGAAGAATTCTACCTTAAAAATAGGTGGCAAGATGTTATGGGAGGAATCCAGACTAATTACTTTAAATCAATTGCTCTGTAATGATTATTTTAAGGCTTTCTCTCAATTTCACATAGAATTTTGCTTGCCTAATTAACAACGGTAGCAATAAAATCAAGACAAGCGTGTCTTGACAGCTCAGTATGGACCAGATGCTTTAGTTGCTTTTAAGAAACCTGAGGTGCTTTCTCTTCTGACTGAGTCCATTTCTGAAAACAAACCAACATCCTATTTGTATCAAACATTAAAGAATATTTTAAAAGGTGAAATCACTGACATTTATGGTTGCAAATTTTAAAGAATGTTAAATTGATTTCATCAGATTGAAGATTGAAATTGATTCATCAAAAGATTCCATTTCAAGTTCATTGGACAACCCAAAGTATATATTTGAAAGAACAGACATCAGATTTTCTCTGTTGCTGATTTTAAAAAATTTGAGGGATTATTAACTCATCTGATTTGATCTTTTGAGTTACTGGTATCTTTTTGGAACTATATTTTAATATATGTAAGTAGATATAGGGAAATCTCTAAATGTTAAATATGTTAATGTTATGTTGAATTATGTTCCAAAAATGTAGAATTTGACTGTTTCTTAAGGAATTTTGATTATATTTGACATGGGGAATTAGTTTGAGAAATTGGAAAATTATTTCAGACATTAAGGTTTGGATCCAAGACATACAATATGCAATTTATCCATTTTTTGAAAAGGCAATTTTTGCACCAATCAACGAGTGATAATTTATTCTGGCAGAGATTCCATGATACTTTACAGCAGTGAGGTTTTTTCCCAATTTGAAATTTTCATATATTGTTTCATACTTGAGATACAGGTAGAATGTTTAGATGGTTTGCCATTTTTTTCCTTGTTGTTTTTGTTGTGGTTTATTATCTTTGTCTTTGGTTTTTATTCACAGTTGGTTCTTGTATTTTTTTGTAGTTAATTGGGGGTTTTGTATTTTTTGTACAAAAAATTTTGTATTTACTTGCAAATAAACTGAGAATTTTAGGTGCCAGAATGCATCCAAAAAATTGGATTTGGCTTATCCACGAGTATATACAGTAATACATTGTTAAAGTACCTGTATATCTTGTATATACTTGTAGCTAAGTCTATCCGTGGATAAGCTGACCCTCAGATTTTTAATCATAATACTGTGGATTACCCATGGATAAGCCAATTGTGAAAATTAAAATATATAAACATTTTGTATGCACGTGGCACATTTTTCACTGTAGTTTGGTTACAAATTCAAAGGTTGGCTTATCTGCGGATGAGCTTATACGTGAGTATATATGGTAAATAAAAAAGAGAGTGGTAGAATTGGAAGCTTAGAAGGGCCTTTGTGTGTTCTGATGTTGACCTACGGCTTTAGGTATAGAAGCAGCATCACCTGTGAGTCAGTCTCAGATCTTTCCTCCTCCATAATATGGGTGGAATATTGATCTACCTTGTAGGATGTCCCTAAAGATGACTAAGAATATTCTAAGCATATGCTAGGACGAGGTATTTTCAGACAAGACCTAGAAATGTAAGCAGACTCTCCTACCCTGCAAAAAATATATATATAACTCAAATCATCCTCTGACAAAGGTTTACAGAAGTTGCCCAAAACTCTCTCTAGCCTAGAATACTTGAGAGGAAAAAAAAACCCTCCTTGATCTACAGTCACTGGACAGAACACTCCCCAGAATGGATCCAGGTGAAACAAATAAATGTCAATGCTTTCCATATTATCTAGAAATCATATAGGAACTTGGAGTTTTTGAAAGAAAATTAATATTGAAAAAGGCTGATTGATACCACCTTGAGAAGAAATAGGATACCTCCTTTCAGAAGGATAATTATTTATGAGAGATGTGAAAAGCCTGCGTCAGTTGCATCAGAATAAAAAATAAACATGTATTTCCCACAATAGTTTATCCCTGAAAACAACATCAAATTTGTAATGACTGCAATCTAGACCTAAGATAACATTCTGATCTTTGTGTCGTTTAATGGCTTGGCCTGATATAAACTTCACTTTCATAATTTAAGATAACAATAAATTATTTTATCTCTTGGACATCTTCATTAAAAAAACAAACAACAAAAAAACCTCAGCAGATGGCAGCATTTGGCTGATCTCACAAGTTAAATAGGACTGCTCTTGATAAGTGCTTGGATGGGAGCCCACTTTCTTTTATCATATCTGTCAGCCACCTTTATTATTGATATGTGAATACAAAATGAAATAAGATATGAAACAAAAAAGAAAGCACTGATCATTCTCCAAAGGAAGAAGAGGAGTTCAAATAATCTTTGTTAAGGCAATGGGCTAATGTAAGCTTCTTTTCACTATTCAGAAATATACTCATGGCTTTAGATGACTATTTGTAGTCAAGAGGGGCTTCTAATTGTAAAGAGGAATTAAGAAATCCTGTTTGTTTCCTCTGCCTAGCATAAAACTCAGAGTGGTTCAAGAGAAATCAATGGGGCTTAAGTTACTTACAAGTAACTCAGGTTCCCTTAATTTAACAGAGTTTAAATCTGGATGCAACCCACAATTCTCAACTTCCGTGATTATTCACTCTGGCATGCTTATCTATAATGAATGTACTACAATAGATTTTCTATTTATTTCTTCTACCCTCCTGAAATGGATGGAATGATTAAGCTACTATTCAAATTTGAAAAGCTGGATTATTTCCTGATTGTATATACAAAATGTCATTCTTGTTCAATGTGTTACAAAATGACACCAAAACAAAAATAAAACCTTAAATAACTGCTCCTGCTTTTAGGAAGCCATTTAGTAAAACTGACTCTAATGACTTTATTTATTCTTATTTCCCAGTAATACTGACAAACTCTTTTTTGTTTTGTTTCAGAAATGATTATCCTGCAATGCTCCCAGCATGCTTAGACACAAAAGCATTCACTGCTGGGACAGAGAGGGACAACTCCCTTTTCTCCACATCAGGGATAAAGTCTTTTCAAAGCTTGAAAAATTATCCTGACTTTCAAAGAGTTTTCCTTTGAGATTGCTGAGTTGGGGATGATGGAAAGTTAAGGGTTTTACAGCAATAGGGAAACAATCATCTTGGTTGCTTCAAGAGAGAAAGTTAAAGCACAGAACAAGGCTGAGGCCTGCAAAGAGGCTTCAGGTTGCCAAATTCTCTTGTAACACATCTCAGAATAATGTAAAACGTCATTCTAAAAAATTAACCTGAGATTTAGGAGTCAACAGAACTGAAAAGATGGGGAAACAGCAAAGAGGATCACTTGTCCTTGCCCTATGTAATTAGAAAAAGGGAGAGCATTTTCACTGACTTAATTTACCTACATTACCACAATGTTCCAAAAATGTCCACTGTTAAGCCTTGTGAATGTTGACAAGCCTACAAAATTTTGTGAACAGCTACAAAAACTCTCAATGACACACTGCTGAAAGCTGATAGTCAGTTTGAGACAACTGTCAGCATTCACTTGGCTAAATCCCCAAAGTGAGAAACGTACTTATTTTAAAACATTCACATTATTATGGTTGTCAGCATTTATGTGGAAATGCCAGAACCCACCAAATGTGGGGCATCTATTACGACATCTAGAATTGAATGTATTAAATTACTATATCTCACCTGATGTGATATTCTGTTGCTGGCCTAAGATCTTTCAGTTTATATTCCAATTCTTCTCCACTGGAAATGAGACAAAATTGTAAGAAACAACCAAAATTAAAACTGCAGTACTGTATTATTAACATATATACCCTACATATTAAGATCTATTCCCATCTAACATATTCCAATTATATACATTCTCGCAGCAGCGAGAATAAATTTTCACCAATACTGGAAAAAAGATGCAATTCTGATGATATCGGATTGGGAACTTAAACTTGGAGAATATGCAGCAATGGCAAAATTAACAGTATATATTCACAGTAGACGTTTAACCAAATTTAAGTAAGAATGGCTCCTATGCATACAATGTATCATGCAGCATATAATCACAGTTTGGCTTTTAAGAGGCCTAAATGTTTATTAATATTGTAATTAACAGATGCACAAAAAGGAGGAAGTTAGAAACCTAATAGGTTGCCCCCCCCCTTTTCATCTATTGGTATTCTAATCATTATCAAACTTGTTTTGTTCTCTTTTGTTTTTCAATATGTACAAACAACATTAAGTAACAATACAGTGTTGATCTAGTGATCTTTTTAGTCAGCACCGTATAAATACCACTGTGTTGAAATAATGTACTATGTAAGTTTTATGACAATATAATAATAAAAATGTGGTTCTCAATTTAAAAAATTAACATCCCAATTATGTGCAAACTGCAGAGGCTGGAAAGAAAAATATAATAAATAAATATTTCATTGACTTCATAGTATATCTCACATTTCTGCAGATTAAAAAAATTTTTTTTTTGTAAACTACTTCAATGACACTTGAAGAATGTTGTAGCTGAAGGATAACAGGCATAAAATTACTAATGTATTAATTATATTTATATGCTGTTTCTTATGTCAAAGCATCTCAAAAACAGTTTACATAAATACAGCAATGAATATAAAACAATATAAAAACGTTCATTCCATCCATACATTAGAGTGTAAGGTGGGAAAAACATTCTTCCAAGACCTGGCAGAAGAGGTGATTTTTTAATTTAATAAATAGTGTCATGGATACCTCCCCTGAATTTCAGGGGGAAGCATGGCCTTATCATAGAGAAGGTTTCCCACAAGCAATAGCCAAATAGCATTCTGCATCTCTGGGTATGTGAATGTGGACCTAACTGGCTTGGCAGCTACTTGGCAGCTATAAAAGACCTCCCTACTGTATTTTGTATCAGATGCAGCTTTGGGACCAAGCACAAGAATAGTCACATACGTGCATGTTCGGTAATCTAAATATGAAATGTGCAACTGGAGCTATTCTGTCCTTGCCTGAGAAACACCAGCCAAAGCTTGTAATAGGCCATGGAGGTACTTTAGGTCACCAATGACAACAATGCCTTAGGAGCATCCCCAAACTACCTGTTCTTTCTGAGCAACTATGATCCTATTTAGAGTTTAGAAACCCCCCAGTTCTTAAAACTGGGAACCTCCCACCTACAAGAACTTGCTGGGATTTAATTTCAATTTACTAGCTCTAATCCATCCTATCACTGCATCCAAACATTGATTTGGGGCATGGGTAGCCTGCCTGATGGAAGAATAGAGCCAAGTATCATCTGCATATTGGTAACACTGTGCCCCAAAACCCCTGAGGACCATCTCATAGTTTTATATAGACATTAAACAGAACCGAGAACGAAATAACGATCTGTGGCATCCATTATTGGCACAGTCATCCAATATTACTCTCTGAAACTATTCTTGCAAGTAGAAACAGAACCATTGTAGAGTCCAGAATACCATGATACACAATATTAAAAAGCTGCTGAGAGGTCAAGCAGGATCAACAAGAAGTCCTCCAGACAATCTGTGTCCTCCAAGTATGATTGCAATCGGATAGGGACCGCTCTTCTCAAGCACTTCACCCAGAAAATATGTGATGGAATTCTGTGACTCTGGGATTGAAAATGGATGTTTCCAAAAAGTTGCAGAAAACAAACAGATGGGCATTTCTGGTGATATCAAATAAGCAATTAGCATCCTTCCCATTAAATCAACCCTCTATAAAAAAAGAGATACAAGGCACTAGGAAGGCCTCGCCTTAACATCCGTGCTGATAAATGATTCTTTGACCTAAGTCTTTGCTCACTGCAATAAACTTCTCTTCTTGTAAGAATCTTGCTTTCTAGAGTGAGTAGGTGGTGAGCCAACACCTAATTTGATACAGCAATATACCTGAGTGCCTAGATTGGCTAAAGAGATGCACTAAATAGGGGTTGGCTTAAGCAACCATTTACAGTGGTTCTGTAAACTAGCTAAATTAAAACCAAATAAATTCTATACCTTAGCAAAATGTAAGATTAGTTAATATCACATTTGTAAACATCCCATACATACAAAATTGTGCTGTATGGGCAAAGGGTTATATGAACTGTCTTATGTCCAACGTTCCTTATAAGACTTCCGTTGTATAAGATTCAGAGTATTTCTCTCCAATATGGCAGAAACAGGATAAGCTTGGCCAACCTCCCTGAGTCCTATGGCTTCTTATTAAAATGAGGTGACATCCAGTTTTTGGAAATGCTTTCAGAGGCACTGGCAGTTCTATGAATTACTTTCCTATGGTTTCTTCTCCTTCTAGATGAAATGCACAGTAGTTAAGTAGGCAAGACCCCAATATTCCAGTTTGGCACTCAACAGTGTGTGCACATAAATACTTAGCAGGCAACTTTTCCAGTTGGTGAATACCATGGAAAAACCTGCTGGGAGGGGAGGAGGAAATGACAAAAACTGGAAACACTCTGATAGTGGAAGGAATGTCATACTCAACTCTGGAAAAACCATAGTGATTTGTTTCTATGCCCCCACTGCTTCAAACATAAAAGATTGTAT